TGTCATGCAACTTTGCTGAATTCAGATATTAGTTCTAGTAGTTTTGGAGTGGAGTCTTTAGGGTTTTTTATGTACAATATCATGTCACCTGCAAATAGTGACAGTTTGACTTGTTCTTTACCAGTATGGATGCCTTTTATTTCTTTGTTTTGTCTGATTGCTGTGGCCACGACCTCCAGTACTATATTGAATAACAGTGGGGAGAGTGGGCATCCCTGTCGTGTTCCCAGTCTCAGAGGAAAAGCTTTCAGCTTCTCGCCGTTCAGTATGATGTTGGCTGTGGGTTTGTCATATATGGCCTTTATTATGTTCAGGTACTTGCACTCTATACCCATTTTGTTGAGAGTTTTTATCATGAATGGATGTTGAATTTTGTCGAATGCTTTTTCAGCATCTATGGAGATGATCATGTGGTTTTTGTCCTTTTTGTTGATGTGGTGATGATGTTAATAGATATTTGAATGTTGTTCAATCCTTGCATCCTTGAGATGAATCCCACTTGGTCATGGTGTTTGATCCTCTTGATGTATATTTGAATTAAGTTTGCTAATATTTTGTTGAGTATTTTTGCATCTATGTTCATCAGGGATATTGGTCTGTAATTTTCTCTTTTGGTGCAGTCTTTGCCTGGTTTTGGTATTAGGGTGATGCTGGCTTCATAGAATGAGTTTGGAAGTATTTCCTCTTCTATTTTTTGGAAAACTTTAAGGAGAATGGGTATTATATCTTCTCTGTATGTCAGATAAAATTCAGCAGTGAATCCATCTGGCCTGGGGATTTTGTTCTTTGGTAGTTTTTTGATTACCGCTTCAATTTTCTGCTGGTAATTGGTCTGTTTAGATTTTGTGTTTCTTACTTGGTCAGTCTTGGAAGGTTTTATTTTTCTAGAAAATTGTCCATTCTAGGTTATCCAGCTTGTTAGCATATAGATTTTCATAGTATTCTGTAATAATTCTTTGTATTTCTTTGATGTCCATCATGATTTTTCCTTTCATTTCTGATTCTGTATATGTGTGTAGATTCTCTTTTTCTCTTAGTAAGTCTGGCTAGCGGTTTATCTATTTTGTTCATTTTCTCAAAGAACCAGCTCTTGGTTTTATTGATCTTTCTATTGTTTTATTCTTCTCAATTTTATTTATGTCTTCTCTGATCTTTATTATGTCCCTCCTTCTGGTGACTTTGGGCCTCATTTGTTCTTTTTCCATTTTCAATAATTGTGACTTTAGACTATTTATTTGGGATTGTTCTTCCTTCTTTAAACAGGCCTGGATTGCTCTTAGAACTGCCTTCGCTGCATCCCACAGAAGTTTGGGTGTTGTGCTGCTGTTGTCATTTGTCACCATATATTGCTTGATCTCTGTTTTAATTTGGTTATTGATCCATTGATTATTTAGGAGCATGTTGTTTAGTCTGCCTGTATTTGTGAGCCTTTTTGCTTTCTTTGTACAATTTATTTCTAGTTTTATGCCTTTGTGGTCTGAGAAGTTGGTTGGCAGAATTTCAATCTTTTTGAATTTACTGAGGCTCTTTTTGTGGCCTAGTATGTGGTCTATTCTGGAAAATGTTGCATGTGCACTTGAGAAGAATGTGTATCCTGCTGCTTTTGGGTGTAGAGTTCTGCAGATGTCTATTAGGTCGATCTGTTCTAGTGTGTTGTTCAGTGCCTCTGTGTCCTTACTTATTTTCTGTCTGGTGGATCTGTCCTTTGGAGTTAGTGGTGTGTTGAAGTTTCCTAAAATGAATGCATTGCATTCTATTTCCTCCTTTAATTTGTTTCACATATGCTGGTGCTCCTGTGTTGGTGCATATATATTTATAATGGTTATATCCTCTTGTTGGACTGCCCCCTTTATCATTATGTAATGTCCTTTTTTATCTCTTGTTACTTTCTTTGTTTTGAAGTCTATTTTGTCTGATACAAGTACTGCAACTCCTGCTTTTTTCACCATATTGTTTGCATGAAATATCTTTTTTCCATCCCTTTACTTTTAGTCTGTATATATCTTTAGGTTTGAAGTGAGTCTCTTGTAAGCAGCATATAGATGGGTCTTGCTTTTCTCTCCATTTTATTACTCTGTGTCTTTTGATTGGTACATTCAGTCCATTTACATTTAGGGTCATTATTTATAGATATATATTTATTATTGCCATTGCAGGCTTTGGGTTTGTGATTGCCAAAGGTTCAAGGGTAGCTTCTTTACTATCTAACTGTCTAACTTTAACTCACTTATTATACTATTATAAACACAGTCTGATGATTCTTTATTTCTCTACCTTCTTATTCTTCCTCCTCCACTCTTTATATGTTAGGTGTTTTGTTCTCTTTTGTGTTTCCTTTGACTGCTTTTGTGGATAGTTGATTTTATTTTTTACCTTTAGTTAGTATTTGGTTGGTCTGATTTCTTTGGTGTGATTTTATTTTCTCTGGTCACATCTATTTCACCTTAGGAGTATTTCCATCTAGAGCAGTCCCATTTAAATATCCTGTAGAGGTGGTTTGTGGGAGACAATTTCCCTCAACTTTTGCTTGTCTTAAAATTGTTTAATCCCTCCTTCAAATTTAAATGATAAATCCTAATGGATACAGTATTCTTGGTTCAAGGTCCTTCTGTTTCATTGCATTGAATATATCATGCCATTCTGTTATGGCCTGTAAGGTTTCTGTTGAGAAATCTGATGATAGCCTGATGGGTTTTCCTTTGTTAGTGATCTTTTTTCTCTTTCTGGCTGCCTTTAATACCCTGTCCTTGTCTTTGATCTTTGCCATTTAAACTATTATGTCTTGGTGTTGTCCTTCCTGGGTTCCTTGTGTTGGGCGATCTGTGGGCTTCCATGGTTTGAGCGACTATTTCCTTCTCCAGTTTGGGGAAGTTTTCAGCAATTATTTCTTCAAAGACACTTTCTATCCCTCTTTCTCTCTCTTCTTCTTCTGGTACCCCTATAATGCGAATATTGTTCCATGTGGATTGGTCACACAGTTCTCTTAATATTCTTTCCTTCCTAGAAATCCTTTTATCTCTCTCTGCCTCAACTTCTCTGTATTCCTGTTTTCTGATTTCTTATCCGTTAACAGCCTCTTGGACCTCATCCCATCTGCTCTGAAATCCTTCTGTTGATTGTTTCATTTCTCTTATCTCCCCCTGGACTTCATTTCTTAGCTCTTGCATATTTCTCTGCAGGTCCATCATAATGGTTATGACTTTTATTTTGAATTCTTTTTCAGGAAGCTTGGTTATATCTATCTCACCAGACCCTCTTTCTGGGGTTGTCTGAGTGAATTTTGACCGGACCAGATTCTTCTGCCTTTTCATGGCAATAGAAGTGATCGCTGGCAGGTGGTGTGTGTGTCAGCTGGGAAAACAAAGTCCCTTCCTGTTTGCTGGTCACCTTGCCCTTCTCCGCTGCCTGTGCTGGTTACCCGCACAAAGGGAGCAGTCTGTGGGTTAATTCCCTGAACTGCCGTGGGTGGGGTGTCTCTCGGGATAGCCTAGGTCACTGTGAGGAGTTGCAGACGTGCTGGGTGTGTTCTCCTGCAAGAACGGTGCCCCTTCATGCCTTTTGGACATTGCTCCAGCTTTCTCTGCCTGTGCCGGACAGCTGCATGCTGGTGGCAGCCTCTGAGTCTGTCCCGGTTATCTGCGCGCTGGGAGAAGACTCTGTGTGATTGCTCTGGGCGGGGCAGCTCCCCACCTGGTCTGCAGCAATGGCGAGTCAGCCAGTTTTCTTGCAGTGCCGGTGGTCGGGGGGATGAATGGCAGGCTGCTTATCACCTTGAGGGGCTTCTGAGCTGCGTTGCCACCCAGAGGGTTAGGGCACCTGAAGTTCCTCAAAATTCCCAGCCTGTTGGGCTGAGTGTGCTGGGATGATTTTGTCCACCTGTTAAACCCTTGTCCCTTTAAGACTTTTAAAGCGCTGGCTTTTCTTTTGTCCCATGGGAGCTGGCTGTGGGGACCTGCCCACAGTGTTTGTCTCAGATTTCACCTTTCAGTTTCTCTAGTGTCCAGTACACCATGTGATGTGTGTCTGTGCTCCTGGTGCAGATTACTAGGGCTGGTTATTTAGCAGTCCTGTGCTTCCACTCCCTCCCCACTCTGACTCCTTTCCTCCCACTGGTGAGCCCAGGGGAGTGCTTGGGTCCCACCGGGTCACAGCTTTGTATCTTACCCTTTTTGTGAGATGCTTAGTTCTTGCAGATGTAGAATAGCCTGGCTGTTGTACTGTATCCTCTGATCTCTCTTTTAGGAATAGTTGTATTTGCCGCATTTTCAAAAATATATATGGTTTTGGGAGGAGATTTCCACCACCCTACTCACACTGGCATCTTGAGTGCCTCCTGACTTTAGTATTTTAAAAATCCCCCACATCCCTGAAGACAATACCTTGCTCTTTATAGGTGTTTACTAATTATTGAATGAATGATTGTAAAAATGTTAGCATGTTGTTATTTTTATACAATGGAATGAATTTTTCACTCCAAAACAGGTAAATACACATCAAATGTAGTAATTGCTTTAAAACAGGGCTTTTCAGTGGTGGGCACTCTGGACATTTTGGGCTGGATAATTCTTTGTTGTGGGGGGTTGCCCCACATGTTGTGTGATGTTCACTAGCGCCCCCTAGCTGCACTTCCTTAGATGGTAGTAGCACCACTCAGCCAACTCTGAACACCAACAATGTCTGCACACATCTCCAGGTTCTGCTTGAGGGGCAGATCACCCCTGGTGTAGAACACAGCTTTAGAACAAAAAAGCAAAAGGATTTCAATACTCTTCTGAATTGTAGTTTACAGTAATTTGTATGTTGATTTTGAAAGGTATAGACAAAAAGACGTTTCAAAGTTCTTCAGATTTAATCTTGTTTTTTTAAGAAAACTGTCTCAAGGATACTGTTACTTTTTATAAAACTTATCTGATGACTTAAAATTGTTTTGTTTTGTTTTGTTTTTTACTGTTTTGTGTATTTTACATTGAATAATGGATTTTATTTGTTGTTTCCTCCAGATTGAAATTAAAATGAAAAAGCCAGAGGCTGTAAGATGGGAAAAGCTAGAAGGGCAAGGAGATGTGCTTAAGCCAAAACAGTTCATAGCAGGTTTGTTTTCTGGCCTTAGCCTTAAATTCATATTATGTTATATATGTTATGGAAATGAGCTTTGTTTACTTTCATTATGTATTTCCCCAAGATACATACATTGAATATAAGATTGCTCTGTTATATGAATACAAAGTAGTCTTGTTTCATGAAGGTTCTAACTTTTTAAACTCCTAACAATACAGATGAATGGCAGCAAAGCACAGAGGGAGCTGGGATTTTTTTTATCATATCAGTTTATGACGTCAGTTGGGAGTTGGTTGGTTTTGTGTGTTGCCCTGTCCTATGGCTTCTTTTGGGTTGTATTTGAATTAGTAGCTTGCAATGCTGATAGATTTCCTCCTGTTCCCACTTCCTTCCTTCCTTTATTCCTTTCTGTTTCTTCTACTGATACTGTCAACTCAAATTTTCTGGAATTTCAGGGCAGAATCAAGTATGTAGCCCATTTCACTATACTGCTAACTTAGAGGTAGACACAAACAGGTTATAAAGGCCTAAGGAGAGCCTAGGAGAAGAACAGAAAAGTAGGGTTGATTGTTTAATTCTTTAAGGAGCTGTGTTGGGGTCAGTTCTAAGCAATGCAGTAGGTGGATAGGTATTTTTTCTATTAGACAATTAATCCACTGTACATTCTGAGAAATACAACTTAAGCAACTCTGTTTTATAGCAATGGACTCATTAATGAATGGGGAGAGATTTTCTTTTGATTAGAGTTAATGCTCTGATTTGATGTCTTGAAATGTTTCACCTTTTGAGCTTTTTCACTGCTTTTATAACAGAAAACACATTTCCTTGTGGCATCTTTTAGAAAACACTGAATTAGTCAATCAATCATTTTTATTATTTTTGTTTTGAAATAATTTTGGATTCTCACAGAAGTTGCAGGAATAATAAGAGTTCCTAGGACCCTTCACCCAGCTTCCCTTCATGATAACATCATAACTAGCCTTTAGCTTAATTAGCAAAACCAGGAAATTGACACCAACAAGCAATTTTTATTATTTATTATTTTAATTAAGGTATCATTGATATACAGTCTTATGAGGGCTCACATGAGCAACATTGTGGTTACAACATTCTCCCATATTATCAAGTCCCTCCCACGCCCCATTGCAATCACTGTCTATCAGCGCAATAAGATGCTATAGAGTCACTACTTGTGTTTTCTGTGCTGTACAGCCTTCCTTGTGACCCCTCTGCATTATGTGTGATACTCATAATGCCCCTTAACCCCCTTCTCCCTCCCAACCCACCCTCCACAACCCCTTCCCTTTGGTAACTGCTAGTCCCTTCTTGGAGTCTGTGAGTCTGCTGCTGTTTTGTTCCTTCAGTTTTGCTTTGTTGTTATACTCCACAAATGAGTGATATACCAGCAAATAATTTTTAAGGATTAAAATACTTCAAGTTGGTTTTTAATCTATTTATTAAACTTCTGCCTCATGATTTATTTGAAAAACATGGTAAAGATGTTAATATGCCTCTCTTGGGGCTGACTCCCCGAGAATTTTGAGCTGAGATTTATGTAAAACTCAAGAGTATTTTTTTAAAGAAACATTTTTAAAATGTAGTATCTCATTTAATTTTAACACCAACCCTATATATTAGTCACCCTAGTATTGTTCCTCCTATTTTTCAGTCTCAGAAGGGTTTTAGCAATTTGCTTATGATCACCAGAGTTTTCATTGTCTAGGACTTAAACCCAGGTCTTCAGAGTCTGGATCCGGTGCTTCTTTCTGTTAACCCCTTTTGTGATACTCCTTGCTGCGTGTTCTAGCAGAGTGAAGTCTCTCCTGATATGAGTATCTTTGCAGTTAATTGATACTGCAGTGAATGAGCAAGGAAATCGGCTTAGCCATCTCTCAGTAGTTCATCTACTATCTATAGGTGTTAAAAGTTTTTCTGAGATTAAATATAAAGATACCTTTTTTAGTGTTACAAAGTTTTTCTAAGCTCATTGCCTTGGATATTTATGATGCTATTTTTCCTATTCTGTTATATTTTTATAAGTAATTAATATGCTTGTTAGATTGCTGTGTCCTGCAAGCTGGAGACTGCAGATAAGGGCAAGTTGCCTAACCTATTTGGGCCAGCTTTCTTATCTCTAAATTAAGATTAGAACTTGTGATTCCATTCTTCTGGGAAATTCACATTAGGATTAATTGAACCCGTGTTTCTTAGGCTCTTAATTTACTATGACAAGCATTTGTTTGCTTTGTTTTCTTTGCAACTAGTGAAAATGCATGGAGATAGAGGGATTACTGGTAGACTAAGGGTAGATAGGATTTGGAAAACTGTATGCTTTAAATAAAATTATAGGGTGTTTTTGTTTTGTTTTAAGGGGGTGGGAATAAGCAGAGGAAGTTGGTTTACAGGTTAAAAAAAGGGAAGGAAAAACAGAATGAAGAATTAGTTTCCCAGCTATTTTTGAGGAAAGGTATAGAGAGGTAGTAGTGGAAGAAGGGCATTTAGATGAGGAGTGCTCATCCTAATACATTGGTAGAGAAACTTTGAGTCAGATTTTTTTAAAGTTCTAGAGCTACATTGTTCAGTAGAGTAGCCACTAGTCACATATACCTATTGAGCACTTGAAATATGGTCTGGATTAAAATGGGCTGTATAAATTTATACTTTATTGAATTACTTTGCTCAAATACCTATCAGAGTTTGAAAACTTAGTATGGAAAAAAATTTATTTTTATATTGATTTCATGTTAAAATGATAAATTATTTTGAATAAATAGGTTAAATAAAATACATTATTAAAAAATCATTTCACCCGGTTGTTTTTAGTAATGTGGCTATTAGAAATCTTCAAATTATACAGGTGACTTACATTTGTGACCTGCTTTATATTTACACTGGACAATTGAACAGAACTGCTCTTAGAGCTACTGAGTAGTTTTAGTTACTTTGTAATTTGTATATCAAGGTCTTGACTCCCTTGGTCTTTGGGGCAGCTGTGGCTGTGCCTTTAGCCCCTTGGCCAGTAGCCTCTGGCTGCAAGGTCTCCATTTGTCCCAGAGTACCCTACAAATACTATTATTTTCTATGTGTGGTGTGGGTATTGAACTCTATACCATCACTTGTATTTTTCAGCATTTAGGAATTCCTTATTTTCTCCTGTTGAAGTTAATCTAATAATTTTTAATGTGAGGATGGGATGTCTTAACTCACTGTCAAATGGCATGGATAATTTATGTTTTGGATTTATTTCTACTCTGAAAGATTGTAAGTACCTCAGAAGGAGGTACATATTAACATTTATTTTAATCTTGTTTACAAGACAAATTTCTTAATGAAGCATTTTTTTAAAAGATGCTATTTTTAGAATTTTATCTTTGTATCTTTTTCATAAATATAAACGTTCCTGTATACTTCCTTTATTAGTTCCCCTATTATTAACATTAAGACTCATGTTTTTAAAATCTAATTTTTCAAAATATACCAAAAAGTTGCACTTTATTAGATTATTTTGCTCTAAAGAAATTCCCAGATTATGCTAAGGATTCAGTGTTTAAACGTGTAAATCTAAGTATTGATGTATATAGCAGAAAGACACTATAAACATGAAATTCAATAACCTAAAATTATGTGCTGAGATGTTTTATATACCCTATGATCACAGAATTTATATGTTGATTAATCACTCCTACCTTTCTGCTCCATAGATGTAAAGAACCTGTATCCATCATCATCTCATTATACTAGAAATTGGGATAAATTGGTTGGTGAGATCAAAGAAGAAGAAAAGAATGAGAAGTTGGAGGGAGATGCAGCTTTAAACAAATTATTTCAGCAGATCTATTCAGATGGTTCTGATGAAGTGAAACGTGCCATGAACAAATCATTTGTAAGAACATAACATAAAGCTTAAAAATATATTGTATTAGTATCAGAAGTTTAAGAGAGAATCACAAGGTTATTTGAAACCAAATTGTATATATGATAGTTGGGAGAACTTTTTGAATATGCTTTGTCTTCTTTCTTTAAACTTAGAGTAATTATTGAGGAAATTGGAAACCTACAGAGGAGATGAATAACAAGTGGTTTTTTTCCACGTAAATGTTTTTGTCAGTAAGTTAAAATTTGGAAGGCTTAATAAATATGAAGGTTATGGAGTTATTCGTGTTGGATTTATTATAGTAGCTGAATAAGCTTCCATTGGTTACTTTCTAGAACCATATATAGTCTCAGTGTCAGGGATGAACAGTAGAGGAGACAAACTTGCAGCATGGTGTTGGGCAAGCAGAAGGTACACATTAGTTATTCATTGGCTTGTTAATAATTTGTCTATTGATTAAGAAAATTCAGTATTTTTTGCCAGGTCAGCATAAATACCATCTAAATTAAGCTTCTAGTTATGAGATTTTAATGACAAGTCATCAGTGTAGAACTATGTAGATTATTTTGCTTGAAGATACAGTCAGTTGACTTGTACCAGTAGCCCTAGAAATGTCACTCTCTTCTTCTAAGGCATTTATATTTATAGTAGAAAGTTAATACTTAATATTAAAATTAATATTTAGTTAACAAATATTGCGTTGAAAACTCAGATATTCCACATGATTACCATGTAGTAACTGGTCATGATTGTACTTTTTACTGTTGACTTAAAATTTTTTTAAAACTTTCTATTTTGAGATAATTATAGATTTACATGTAGTTGTAAGAAATAATGCAGGGAGATCCCTTGTATCCTTTAGAGTTTTCCTCTGTGGAAACATTTTGCAAAACTGCAGCATATCACAACCATGATACTGACAGTTAAGGTACAGAACATTTCCATTGCCACAGGATTTCCTCATTGTTGTCATTTTATAGTCCCTACCCACTTCCCTCTCATCCCTATCCCTGCTTAACTCCTGGCAGCCACTAATTTAGCAAGTCTTTATCAAGTATATAGTTTGCAAATATTTACTCCCAGTCTATGGCTTAAATTTTCTCAATGATCTTTTGCAGAACCAAAATATTTTATTCTGATGAAGTCCAATGTACCAGTTTTTTTTTATAGACCATGCTTCTGGTGTTTGGGGAAGATTTCAAACTATAAACTTAATCTTATTAATCTGAATAGTTTATAGGACTACTCAGATTATCACTTTCATATTGAGTGACTTGTGGTAGTTTATGTTTTTAAGGAATGGTTTATTTTGTCTAAGATGTCACTCTTAGTATTTCCTTGCTACCTTCTTGATATCTGCATTGGTAATTTGTGCCATGTGTGTATGTTGCATCAATTTTGCTGGAGGTTTGTCAGTTTTATAGATTTTTCCCCCCCCAAAGAATTAGCCTTTTGTTGATCTTAAAACTTTTTTTTTCTATTTTTTTGTTCTAAATTTCATATCTGTTCTATAATTTTCTTTCTACTTGCTTTGGGTATATTATGCTTTTCTTTTTTTTTCCAGTTGTATTTTTCAATTCTAAAATTTTCCATTTGGTTTTCCTAATATCTTCTGTTTCTTTGCTGAGGTTTTTTATTTTTTCATTTGTTTTAAGTAAGTACAGAATTTCTTACTAAAGCATTTTTATCACTATTGCTTTAAAATCTTTGTCAAATAATTTTAACAACTCTATCATCTCTATGTCATCTCAATGCTATTTATTGTCTTTTTAAAAAAATGTAATCTGAGATCTTTCTGTTTTTTGATGTTTTTTTTATCAGTATCAAGTGATTCAGTTGAAACCTGAATCACTTTCAGACATTTTCATGTTATGCTGTGAGACTGGATCTTATGTCAACAATAAGAAGTCTATCTTACTTCATTAGCTTTTCTGATGGCCATTTTGGCAGAGGACGTGAAGGGACTGCCTCATTACTGCCAGGTTTAAGGTAGAAATCGAGGTATTCCCACCTGGCCTCCTTGGACCCACCCCAAGGCATTTCCTTGTTACTGGGAGAGGGCAGGAGATCTGGCCCCAGTTGGAGCTTTTTTTGTTGGTGTCCCATAGTGTTTCCAGGTTCTTCATCTCAACTCTGGGCATTTGAAGCAAAAGGAAAACCAGGGAACTCACCACCATGTTGTTCCTTTGGTCCCAGTCTCCCTAGTTCATTTGTCTTCTCTTCATCTTTTAGAGTCTTCTTAATGTTTGTTTTATATGTATAATATCTGAGCTTTTTAGTCTTACTCTGTGTCCCCAGAAAAAGACATAAATAATATTGACATTTTTAAGAGCATGCTAGACAAAATATTAGTGTATAAAATTTCAAAGATAGATTATGCAATCTGCATCTGTTTGCAAACAGAGACTTTGCTAATTATAGTTGAACTATATACACCTATAAAACAAGCCGTGTATTTGGCAGCACTGGCCTGGAACATACCAAGTGCTTGCTTCTCTCCTTGTGGGAATGCAAAAGAAACAAAACAGACTCTTCTCCTCTTTGCCTACTAGGGACAAAAAGACTAATGTAGAAAATAATCAGAGGGAAATACTATATTAGTCTGTAATGAGAGAGGGGAAAATCAGTGTATCAGTGTAGATTATAAACTAAACCTGCTTCCTTCAGCCCTTTTAGGAGTAGTTTATTATATAGACTTATTCATTTATATTCAGTATTTTATTTGAAGCCCACCATATGCCAGGCCACCGTGCTCCTATCTAAGATAAAAGTATTAGTACAATGTGCTCCTTGCTTTTTTTTTATTTTAATTTTTTAATTAAATGTGGTACCTGATATAAATTATCCAGAGTAAGACACAAAAAGTTCTAAAGCATTGTGGGGAGGGAGGGAATGGTGTTGGAACAACAGCACAGAGTATCCAAGAGTTGTGGCACTAAACTGAATGGATTAATCTATCTCTGCCCCAAAAAGTCTTACATTGCTTTCACTTTAAAAGCCCTTTATTTACTCTTTTTCTTTTTATGATTTTTCCCTGGGTAATTTCTATTGACCTGTTTCAAATTCTTTGACATTTTCCCTTGGCTGTGTCAAGCTTGCTGACGGGCTGGTAGAAGTCCTGATTTTTGTTCATGGGATTTTTATTTCTAGCATTTTTGATCTGATTTTTTCTTAGAGTTTCCATGTCTCTGATGATATTTTCTGTCTTACCCTTTTACATGTTGTCTCCTTTTTCTTTTTTTTTCTTTTGTGATCATTAATATAAAATCACATGAGCAACATTGTGGTTACTAGATTCCCCCCATTATCAGGTCCCCACCACATACCCTATTACACTGTTCATCAGCATAGTAAGATGCTATAGAGTCACTACTTGTCTTCTCTGTACTATAGTGCCTTCCCCGTGACCCCTCTATATTATGTGTGCTAATCGTAATCCCCCTTATTCCCCTTCTCCCTCCCTTCCCACCCACCCTCCCCAGTCACTTTCCCTTTGGTAACTGTTAGTCCATTCTTGGGTTCTGTGAGTCTGCTGCTGTTTTGTTCCTTCAGTTTTTTCTTTATTCTTATGCTCCACAGATGAGTGAAATCATTTGGTACTTGTCTTTCTCCACCTGGCTTATTCACTGAGCATACCTCCCTCTAGCTCCATCCATGTTGTTGCAAATGGTAGGATTTGTTTTCTTCTTATGGCTGAATAATATTCCATTGTGTATATGTACCACATCTTCTTTATCCATTCATTTACTGATGGACACCTTGGTTGCTTCCATATCTTGGCTATTGTAAATAGTGCTGTGATAAACATAGGGGTGCATCTGTCTTTTTCAAACTGGGCTGCTGCATTCTTAGGGTAAATTCCTAGGAGTGGAATTCCTGGGTCAAATGGTATTTCTATTTTGAGTTTTTTGAGAAACTTCCATACTTTTCCACATTGGTTGAACTAATGTACATTCCCACCAGCAGTGTAGGAGGGTTCCGCTTTCTCCGCATCCTCTCCAGCATTTGTTGTTCCTAGTCTTTTCTATGTTGGCCATCCTAACTGGTGTGAGGTGATATCTCATTGTGGTTTTAATTTGCATTTCCCTGATAATTAGTGATGGAAAGCATCTTTTCATGTGTCTGTTGGCCATCTGAATTTCTTCTTTGGAGAAGTATCTGTTCATATCCTCTGCTCATTTTTCAATAAGGTTATTTGCCTTTTGGGTGTTGAGGCATGTGAGTTCTTTATATATTTTGGATGTTAACCCCTTGTTGGATATCTCATTTACAAATATACTCTCCCGTACTGTAGGATGCCTTTTCTGCTGATGGTGTCCTTTGTGTGCTCCTTGCCTTTTATGGGTTATCAACTTTAGTTGGAGTGAAGAGTGGGAAGCAGATATAAGAAAGCAGACCCTTAGAATGTTAACAGTGCAGTGTGATACATGTTATATTAATGGTAATTATGTTCTTCGAGGGTAGAATTTTTGACTAGGGTCAAAGAAAGCCACAGAGAATTAGTGACATTGTCGTATTTGGAAGATAACTAAAGATAGAAAAAGAACTGGAATGGAAAAGAACATCCCATGCAAGGAGCCCATGTAGGGCAGCTTGGCACAGAGCTTGGCTTTATATTGAGGGTCCAGTGTAATAGGAGGGTATATGTGACTTTGTGTGTTTGCCAGCAATTCAGCTGGTTATTTGAAATGCTTAGATTTTAGTAATTCACACTGTTGGCTGTGATCTAAGTCAGTGAATTTTTATTGCATTAAGATAACAGATGTCCAGAAAGTTTTTTTTAATGTATTTATGAATATGGTAGGGTTGTTGGTAGATCATATATTCAGTAAATGGTAAATAGATAACCAGTTCTCTGCTGAGACACCGACTTTGTGTACCTCTGTGTGTTTACCTCTATTTAAAAAGAATTCCAGCATATACTTTCACATACTTGGCACAGAGAGTATTAAGAAGAGACTCGAGTTCTGTCTAGCTAGTATAGAAAGAATCCACTTTGCCTGGTCTTTACTATCCTCAGTAAGAGGGATTACATCGTCATTTTCCTTGGGAGCCAATTTTATTTTCATCTGAAGGTAGTTTTCTACATACACCTCAGTGCTGATTGGTAGAGACATGGTGCTTCATATGGCAGTGTATGTGAACATAATGCTTCTACCTAACTACTTGGGTTTCCTTTTAGTTACATAAAGTGGTAACTTCTCTGGAAAGCCTGAGATAAAATTAAAATATTGTCTTATGTTTATATCGAGCCAAACATAGCTTATATTTGAGATTCTATGCTTGGAGCATTTTCAGAAAAAATACTCTTGTTTTGATTATATGGCCCAAGAATTAATCTATTTTTATTTTTTATTGCAGATGGAGTCTGGTGGTACAGTTTTGAGTACCAACTGGTCTGATGTAGGTAAAAGGAAAGTTGAAATTAATCCTCCTGATGATATGGAATGGAAAAAGTACTAAATAAATTAATTCGATATCAATATATTGCAAATTTCACCTAATGCCCATTGTATATTAATATTGCATTCATAAATTTTGAACACTGAGTATCTTTTTGAAAGGTTATATCTCTTTATCTCTTTGTGCTTTAGAAATTATTTTCCTTCAAGTGTTCTAAGAGTCTAGTGAAGAATGAAGATCATACTTTATCACTTTTGTCCTTAAGAATTTCAGATATGCTGAAATGGAATGAAGTGTCATTTGCTACTAGATAGATTAGTTCTACCTAACTGTGGGAGTGGAGAAGTCGTTAATGGGATATCTTGGGTTTTATTGCCTTATTTTTGATTCAATATTTTGTTAACAATACATTAGACTTGGCATCTTTGGGTGAGCTAGATTTTCAACTTCAGTGTTACATTGTTTGCTTTTAAAAACTGCTTTTGAATGGAGTTGTAAATACAATTTTTCTATGAAGATACTTGGTTTATTTACGTTTTTCTTAAGTTTTTAATACGAACTTTGCGACATTATTTATCACAATGAGTTCCCATTTATTCTCTTTATGGGAAATATTTGTAACTGCACTGAGATTTTGGTTGTTATCTTCAAAATTCCTGTATAAAACATAGACCCCTGAGTTTAACATGCTGCAAGTTTATCTATACTGAAGAATAATCTGTGAAGCTGGGGCAGAATGATTTAGGAAAGCCCAACTCCACCTTGCTGCTTTTGCCACAGCACGAGTCCTGAAATTACAGCACTCGTGGTTTGGGTTTTGTTTGTTTATTGGAAAATCTCTTTTCTCACATCCCTATGATTACTTTGGTTTCATTGGTTTAGGGTAGCTTCCAAGAGAGTAAATTAATACATATTCATTTAGTATCTGCTCTGTTTCTAGAATAAATAGATACCATGGGAGTATAAGAAGTAAAAGATATCATTAACTTCAAAGATTTTACAATGTAATAGAGAAAAATAACATCCATGAAAGAATTATGGAAAGGTTGAATGCTGAAGTCATTATAGAGTTTTGAGATAGACAAAAAGTGTCTTCTCAAAATTATTTGCAGTCTACGTTATTCAAAAGCATAGACCTGGGTGACCTGTAGGTCTGACTTAGTTTTCTGACCATAATTTCTGAACCACAGTGCCCTCGAGGTTGGGGTCTGTTAGGTCCCACTGACATTTTGTTAGTGCCAGGCATGACTGTACCCTCAGGGCTGAGGACAGGAGGCAAATCAGCCATCCTCTCAGCCTCCCAGAATGGGAATTCAGCCCCTTCCTTCTGGTTGTTTGACCTGAGTGTAATGGGGCTCATAAGGAGTGTGGCAGTGGGGTAATAACCAGACCATGCCCAAACCTGTTCTAGCTTATTGAGGCGCTTTGGGGTTTTTGCTTGTCCTTCTGCCCAGTTAGAGCTACAGGCCGCCACCTCTTTGTTCTTGAACACTGAAGGAAAAGTTCTTGCTTGTATGAATTTCCAAAATTTTCTCCTTAGGGAAACAAAATGGTGATTTTTATATTCTGTATGTTCAATTTTCTCAGTACCATTAGTTCTAAGGCAGGTAGGAAGGCTCTTGCTACAAAGGTGGTAAGTCGGGGGCATACAGCAGTATATCAGAAACAAGAATCCTGGCTCTAGCAAGTCTCTGCCGCTAACTAGCTTTACAGTCTTTGACATTTTAGCCTTGCTGTGCTGTAGTTCCTTTATCTGTAAATAATCTGTAGAATCTTAGAGTTATAATTAGAAATCCATGATTCTAAATAAGGGAACCTATTTGCCACTTAAGAGCAACTTTTTCCTTTGTTGAGAATGATATTGTTATAATAGAAGTTGGTTTTAAAAAAAACTCCAGTACTAGTTTTGCTTGTATTTTAAAGGGTACATTATATCTAAAGTATGCTCATCGTTGGCTAGATTTGCATAGTGTTGTGGGGCTCAGGATTTTGCTAAGCCAAATGGAACTCCTAATACACATGACTATTATTATAAATGTACCTGGTCTAAATACAGTAGATTTATAGGTAAAGAAGGGGATTTTGAGAAGTGGATTAGACTGCTGCCCCAAGTATCATTGTAATAGTACTGCTTCTCTTTCACCATTCTAGATACTGGAAATTTGTAAGCCTCCAGAAAGTTTAACTTCATTTTGATTAATGGTCTGTTACTTTTATCGTTATTTTCTACTATCTCAGCTTACCTATTAATTGGTCTCACTTTTTTTCAGACTCCAGTTTTCAGTTCTCAAATTTTGACTCTCTTGGTGCTCTAGTTAATAGTTTGCTTCTTCAGAATGTGCATTTTTTTCTCTTAGTATTTCTTACTTTCATTTTTAAGAAGGCTTAGACCTGAAACACATTTTTTTCTTAATCTCAGGTCATTCATCTGTTCTGATTTCTGTAATCATTTGCACCTTGATGACTTCGCAGAATTCTCCCACTATCTGCAAAGTATCATGAATGGGATAAATCTGTTTCTTTGAACTCTGTTATCAGTCTCTTTAGATGACTATACCACAGGTTTGTTTGAAACCTCAGGGTCAATGCTGATAATTTTCTGTCTTGTGTCCTAACACAACCCATTCAGAGTTGATTGATAACAAGTTGTCTTCAACATAGGCATTACTGGCCACTTAAAAGAAAAATCTTTTTCTTCTATGTAAAGACTGGGAGAAAGGATGTTTTGCATTGATAACTACATTTTGTAAAAACATTCCTTAGATTTGGGTATTCACTAATTGTAGAACATTGAATCATTACTGTTATTGTCTCCCTGAGTCTGGAAAATTTCATATTTTCTTAGCATACTAACCATAAAGGACAAGGGAGAAAATAATTGGACTGTCCTATGTAAACTTTCTAAATTTCAAATATTTAAAATGGGAGTATGTCACTATTTATTATGAATAGTTTAGTTAGAAATTTTAATTTAGTTCAACACTTACAAGATTTTGACTATCCTTTCCCATTTTACCTTTTCTCCTTCCCCAGTTATCTATATCTATATCAGATTGTCATTATCTCTGAGAGGTATCAGTGACCCAGAGCAGTATTTCCTATTAATTTACCATCTGATCTACCTAGTGCACTTTAATTGTATTGGGATCCTTCTTGTTCAGATTAGTGTGCATCTCTGACTTGTAACTATTACCGACATTTTCAAAAATAGAAAATTTCTGGGTGGTCTGTGAGTGTGTGTTACAAGTGCTACTTTTCTTTGGAACTAACTCTAAAGTTGTTTGCCTTTACACTCATACTTGCTATTACATCCCCATAAGAATATGGATTTCAGTTATCTCTGCCTTAAAGGAACTAAGGAGAGAGATAAAGGCTAAAAGCATAAAATAATGGTGTCTGTGCTGGGAAGAGTAATGTATAGTTTTAAATAAGAGGGATCATTAACATTGATCTGGCTTCTTTTGTCTCCAGCAATGCATTTTCTGTTGTAAAATCATTTTACACAAGCATCAGGAGATTTTATTTTGGAAACATCTGGGAGCTTTTGGACAAATTTGAAGTACTGATTTACTCATAAATGTTACTATTTGGGGCCATCTTTGTGATTTACTACTGAAATTAATTTACCTCTTAGCCTTCTTCCTACCTCAGTTAAGTTGCCCCCCAAATCAGCTAAAATCATATTCATTGCTAATTCATTTGGACAATAGCAATGGTAACTATTCTATACTAATACTATGGGCTGGGTGTCACTAAATGATTTCTATATATATGTACTACCTCTTTTATAACAGCCTTGTGAAACAGTGACAACATTTTGTTATTACAGATCAGAAAAAGGAACCCAAAGTTGTTTTTTGCCCAAATTCAATTCAGATAGAACTGGGATTTGAACTTGGCTTATACACTTTTTGTTGGACTCCATTGCACACATGCTTTTAATGACATGACTGCCTTTTCAAGTGATGAATGAGTTGGGTGTGTGATGAATGATTTTATTAATAAATAAACTATCTGACAATGAATCAGAGAATGTGCAAGTTGAATTGCTTATTTCTTGTTGTACATGGGCTGAGAAGGTATATACCTAAACATCAGAGCATTGTCATCAGTTTTCTAAGCAGGAAAGCTTTTTAGAAATCCAAACTTCTGCTTTTAAATCCCTCCATTGTATGTTGCATTTCAGATATGGAATTTCTTAATGGTTGAATCTCTGTCCTAAATTTGTCCTTGAGTTCTTGAATATTTTTCTGTACCTCCATGAGCATGTTTATGATTTTTTATTTTGAACTCAGTTTCAGGAAGATTGGCGAGTTCAGTTTCATTTGACCCTTTTTCCAGGGTTTGTGAAACTTTGGTCTGAACCAGGTTCCGTTGATGTTTCATATTTCTGTGTGGCACCCTCTAGTGCCCAGAAGCTCTAGTCTGTGGAGCTGCTCAACCCCTGGAGTGAGGTTGGATGTTGCAGGAGAGTGGCGCTGGAGCCTGGGGGAAGGAAAGAGCTGTTTTCTGCTTCCCGACTGCATGCCTGTCTCCACTGTCAGAGCCAGTGGGCCGAGCACACAGGTGTAAGACTCTGTGCTTTGTGTCTGTAGTTGTCATAGGTGGGGCCTCCCTCTGGCTGGCCTGACACCAGCACAGTGACTGCCAGTTTGCCAGCCAGTGCCTGCAGGCCAGGAGGAAGGTACAGCAGGCTGCATATCACAGTGGGGGGTCCTCAGTGCTGAGTAACCAGCCAAGGGGATGGAGCACCTGAAGCTTCCCAACCTGCTGGGTAGAGCGCACCCAGACAACCTTGTCCACCTATCCTTTCTTCCACGCACAAGCTCTGTGCAATTCCCGCCCCTTCAGCAGCCCTCTTACTGCTAGGAAGCCTCTCAGACCGCCTGCCTTTCCTTTGTTCCAGAGCAGCCAGATGTGGATCCCTGTCCTCCACAAATGGCTGGAATCTTAGTCTCTCAAGTATTCTGCCTGTCTTAGCTTTCCAACCCCACTAATCTCCAGAGCACCATGCAATGTAGGTTTGTGCTCCCTAGGCTTCCACCCATTTCCCGCTGTTTCTCTTCCTGCTGGTGAGCAGGGGTTGGGGAAGGGCTTGGGTCCCACCAGATCAAGACTTTGGTACGTTACCGTGCTTTGTGAGGAGTACTCTGTTCTCCAGGTGTATGCAGTCTGGTGCAGCTTTCTTTCCTGTTGCTCTTTTAGGATTAGTTGTATTAACTATATTTTCATATTATATATGGATTTGGGAAGAGTTCTCTGTCTCATCTCTCATGCTGCCATCTTGAATTGCTTTGATGTAGAAATCCAAACTTCTTTAATTGTGCTGAAGGTGCTGCTTTTCTCAAATCCAGATAATTACAAAGAGACCCTTAATGACTCTTACAGGTGTAAGAAGTGGGGCAAGAAGATGATGCTGATTAGATACTTGCTCCTCTTTAAACTTGGGAGCTGTCACTAGTCTTCACTGTACAAGTGCTAAAATTGAAGGCTTTTTCTTAGATAACATATATTAAGATC